ACAATAAAGAGAAGTAGATTAAGACTGCAGACAAACACACACACACACACACACACACACACACACACACACACACACACAGAGCAGGTGACCTCATTTTCCAGGCGTTTAAAGCAGCATTAATGTGTCCGACCATCCCGAAACTTTAAAGATTATTTATACTGTAAAATCTGCATAAAATCATGCTTAGTTCTATTTTTTGCTCTGTTTATACACATACAAAAATATAACCCAGTGTTATAGAGCTGATGCAGAAAAACATTAATGAAAATTAGTTTTTGTTTTGTTGTATTTATTTATTTTCTGTTTTGTTGCAAAAAGACAAAGTTTGAAATGGCGAAAACATGATGATTCTGCAACATATTAAGTTGTTGCATCATTTTCCTTTAAAAAGGCTGTTTGGTAACATTTTTGTAGTGTTTAAAGGGATTCTTCTAAAAGTTTTATGCATTTTCTTTCCCTATGAAGCATTTTGGATTTTTTTTTCTTTCTCGATTCATGTGATTTGACTCATCAGCGCCTCTAGTGTTTGAACACGGAACTGCACCCTCCGTCATCACAGGCAAAAACAGGTGAGTGACAGGACAGGGGCAATCCAGAGGACCAATCAGATTTCAGCTGGGGTCAATGCCCCCGTGGCCCCGCCCCTCTCTGTCTGTTAGCAAAATATCTCCTGAAACATTGAATGGATTTTAATGAAACCTTAACATCCTGTCTAATACAGGGGGGACAAAATATAAAACTTGGTCCAATATTGTTCAATATTTATTTAAATGTTATATAACACTAACAGATGACCTTTTACAAAACTACGTAGCATTTGAGCATAAAGATAAACATTAAATTGAGATGTGACTTTCAAATAAGAAGAGAATTCAGAAAAAGAGAATTAAAGTGCTGCTCTTTCCACACCAAAACCAAAGATTTTGGAAAAATTTGAATTTAATTTTATTGGCTTGAAAGTGGACAGATGTCATGAGAAGAACGCACTAAATGTGACACAAAGATTAAAACTATTTTACATTTAAAGTACAAAATTTATTTATTCTATTTAACCTTTATTTATCCAGGAAAACTGTTTGAGAACCACTTCTCATTTACAAACATGACCTGGCCAAATTTGAGGCCAAAATAAAATGTTAACACGGGCCAGATTTGGCCCGCGGGCCTTGAGTTTGTCTGATCCAAGAAGGCAGCCACAGACATTCATCTGTACCAAACAGAAATATCCATAACTCTGTCAGATTTTCAGATACTGAGCTCAAACCTGGTGTGGTAGTAGCTGAGAGTCAGACCCATCAGATGATCTGAACTCGAACAAACAGCTGAAGATCTCTGCTTAAAACTCAGCGTGCAAATGTCTGTCTCTAATGTGGCCGCTGTTTGGAATCAGGCTTGTGCAGGTAAAACGTTTACCTGTCATCTACAGGCTCTTCAGAGGACAGCTGATGTCCATTCAGAGGGACCAGAACCAGAACCAGAACCATGGTCATCTTACAGCAGGTAAACACAGATCAGATGGAGTCATTTCATTTAAAGGACGTTTATTTGCTCCTGATCACAGCTTCTCCTGCAGAAAAACATCATTTCTGTTTAAGTTTTCACTGTATTGTTCAGATGCAGATAGTTTATTTGTTGTTTTGTTGTCTCTCTGAGACTCGGTGATGAACTCGTCTAACGAGCTTCCAGAGTTTTCCCTGCTGTGGAGGCCCGAGTGGGCCGAGCCAAAAACACAAGCGAGCTCCCACAGTTCGGCTCTCGCTGGGTTTTTACTCCAGAAATATGAGTTTCTGCACACAGCTTCAGGTCCGACAGCAGAGAGGAAACCAAACATGAGTCAAACACTGGAAACTGGATCTTTATTTAAATAAGAGAGGGAAAAAAACAAACAAGCTGCAAATTGAGAAGAGTCTGGATTGTTGTGATTTTTAAAATTAAAATATCAGGATTGTTACCTTTTTTTATAATTCACATGAAGCTTTTTGTGACTCGTGTGGAGCAGCTCTGAAAATATTTCACATTTTAAAGACGAAAAAGAGCAATAAGTGGAGTTTAAGTGAGGATGTCAGTGAAAACAAACCAGAGTGGATCTGATTGGCCTCTGGAGGGCTGGGATCCCAACATCCACCGCCTGAGCTTCAGATGCAACACGCTCATCAAGGTAAACTCTGACATCATCATCATCAGCATCATCACCTCCAGGGTCCAGACCTGAACCTGTTCTCAGATGTGTTTCTAGTTTGTTGAGTTTATCTTTTAGTCTTTTTATGGTTTGGGTTCTTGTCAGGCCCCGCCCACTCCCACCTGAGCCTCCTCGTCTTTCGTGTTGTAGTTATTTATTAGGGCTGCAACGATACAGAGAAAACTCACGATTCGGTCTGGTTGGATACTTTAGTCTCACGGTTCGATATTGTTTCAACACAAAAAAGAGAAATGTCCTTCTTAACTTGTAATTTATTGAAGTTAATTATAAACATTTGTTTTTCCTCAAAAGTCCAGTTTTTAAATTAAATGTTGCTGAAACAGCAAGTTTCTCAGTGGATCTGTGCTCCACAATTCAGCCTAGGTGGAGTAGTCGAACACAGATCCACTGATCCTTCAACACAGAGCATCTTCAGAAGACAAGCTAATAAAATAAATGTTAAAAATCTGCATTGTTCCATATATAGTGTGTATTGTTCCATACATAGTGTGTATTGTTCCATATATAGTGTGTATTGTTCCATACATAGTGTGTATTGTT